TGGATCCGTGTGAAAGGGATAGTTTTGACAACGTTGTCGTCTTTACAAATAAAAGAACGTTTCCATTTTTAGCAAATGTACCCTAAAACACAATGAAACCAAACTTTTTTTTTTTTACAAAAATAACTTATTTTATTTCTGCTAGTTCCCAAGGCAACATTTCTTATTTTCATTCAATTTAACTTATTACAATAACTAAAACTGAAATAAAAATCAATGAAAACTTTAGACATATTTAAATAAATATATATATAAAATTCATATTTATTTGTATAGCGCTTTTCACAATACACATCATTTCAAAGCAGCTTTACAGAAAATGCATGAGTCCATACTACAATTTAGAGTTGATCTGTTATCAGAGGTAACTGTCTAAGTTGTGTATTTCAGAAATTTACATATACAAAATCACAGTTAGCGAACTAAAATGAAAATGAAAATGGAAGATATAAAAATCATTCAAAATATTAAAGTATAGAATTAATAGTAACTAAAAAAGATTCTGAATGATACTAAAATAACAATGGAATAGAGCTTTGTGCAGCTTCGTATTCTAATAATACTATTAACTAATAATATTGCAAAAAGGTTTTTGTGAGGGTTGCCTCTAAGGATTGAAAATGTTATGGAAAGTCCTCACCATGATGGAAATACACGTGTGTGTGTGTGTGTGTGGCCTGGTAAACCTTTATGGGGACAAAATCCCACAAAAATGGCAATATCTGAAATCCTTGTCCTTGTGGGGACATGTTTTGGTCCCCAAGAGGAAAACAGCTTATAAATAATAGTAATAATAAATTATGTTTTCTGAAAATGTAAAAATGCAGAAAGTGTTGTGTGATGGGTAGGTTTAGGTCTCGGGTTAGTGTAAGGGGAGAGACTATACAGTTTGTACAGTAAAAAAACCAATACGTCTATGGAGAGTCCCCATAAAACATGGAAACCCAACGTGCGTGTGTGTGTGTGTGTGTGTGTACATGTGGATGTAAACATCCAGCATCGACTGTGAATATTCAGCGCATGATCTTCACATTTTCTTCCCTGCGGCTTCTCGTCATACATGCATAACGATGTGTGTGTGTGTGATTCAGCACTCTAATGCAGCGCTGTGGAAAAGAGGAAAGGATGGAGAAAGATAAAAATGAAGGATGACAGAGAAAGTGAAAATATTTGTGTCAGCGAGAAAGAGCTTTGCAGTTTTCTCTCTCACCCATTCCTCTCGTGTGATGAATAGATGTGCCTTTTCTCGCTACTTTTTTAGATCAAATTAATGATTCATGCTATTAATTTAGTTATTTCTCACAGTCTTGGCTAGTAATATGTCAGTATCAATATAATGAAGAGTCCATTACACACACTGGACACACTGGACACAAACAAATGCACAGTTGCAACATTTCTATAAATAGACTAGCCGGGCAAACAAAAATAGATGCAGAGAAGAGAAAGCGTGGTTCAGCCGCCTGGATCTAAAGACACTGACAATCTGTCTCTTTCTATCTCTCCGTCTCTATTGGCCACGTAAGTGAGCAGCAGCTCAGATGAGAAGCAGGCACGGGTGACACATCGCTGATCTTCAACTGGTGTTCATCCATCTGTAATTAAAGCAGCCACGGGTGCTACTCTAGCTTTCAAACGTTCCTATCTTTTTTATTTACAATGGTTTTGAACACAGCTCCATATCCATTAGCCAATATATGCAATCTGATGTTAATATGAAAAGTTGATATCTATATAAATGTATATAGGGCTGCAAGTAACAAATTGTTCAGATATCCTATTAATCGGTCAGTTATGTTTTCGAATAATCACATTAAAAAGCCAAATTTTATATTTGTATATTTTTATAAAAAGTTATTCTATATCCTGCTCAGTGTTGTTTCCAAACAACGTGTAAATGAAAGGTTTTGGAAACTAATTTAGTGAAAAATACAACTGCACAGACATACAAACATACACATTCACTCGTCTGAACATAGTAATTATATTGCATCTTTACCCCAGTTTACAACAGTAACTTTCCTATTACTGCTATACAATTATTTGTGTTATATATGTTATATGTTTTGCTAACATTCACATTAAGTTATGAACACATGAATATTCTCAGAATGTTCAAACATCCCGTTTTTCCAGTTTTTTTCTTAGTTATGTGAATGCTAGAGAAAACATTAAAGGTCTAGACGATTTATGAGGAACACTGTTGATAATTAAGATCAACCCAAACAAACACCCTTCCTTTCATCGCTTCGCCCCCAAAATTCACAAACTTGCAATGCAAGAGCAGATATCTCTTAATCAAAATGATTAACGGACAAAAAAATGACATATAGTGCACAAGAGTATATATAGTATAAGAGAGTATGAGTTAGTTGTTATTTGCCAGCAGCACGGCATCTCCAGACAATGCCACTCAAAACTGTCCTCTTAATATAGCTAACATTACGACAAGAGTATATATTGGTTCTGTAAAACAGCAAACCCAATGATACTCACGTATGGAGCAGAAATAACGCAACCTCATTTTTCAGACACACCCCCTACTGTTGATTGGCTCACTCTTTCTCCTCCCCTGTCATATGTGGACACGCCCCCTACTGCTGATTGGTTCACTCTTTCTCCCCCATCATGTGTGGACACGCCCCTACTGTTGATTGGTTCACTCTTTCTCCCCCGTTATGTGTGGATACGCCCCCTACTGCTGATTGGCTCACTCTTTCTCCCCCATCATGTGTGGACACACCCCCTACTGCTGATTGGCTCACTCTTTCTCCCCCATCATGTGTGGACACGCCCCCTGCTGCTGATTGGCTCACTCTTTCTCCCCCATCATGAGTGGACACGCCCCTACTTCTGATTAGCTCACTCTGTCTCCCCCATCATGTGTGGAGTGTGGACACGCCCCTACTGTTGATTGGCTCACTCTTTCTCCTCCCCCGTCATGTGTGAACACGCCCCCTACTGCTGATTGGCTCACTCTTTCTCCCCCATCATGTGTGGACACGCCCCTACTGTTGATTGGCTCACTCTTTCTCCCCCATCATGTGTGGACACGCCCCTACTTCTGATTAGCTCACTCTTTCTCCTCCCCCATCATGAGTGGACACGCCCCCTACTGCTGATTGGCTCACTCTGTCTCCTCCCCCATCATGAGTGGACACGCCCCCTACTGCTGATTGGCTCACTCTGTCTCCTCCCCCATCATGAGTGGACACCCCTCCTACTGCTGATTGGCTCACTCTTTCTCCTCCCCGTCATGAATGGACACGCCCCCTACTGCTGATTGGCTCACTCTGTCTCCTCCCTTCATCATGAGTGGACACGCCCTTACTGTTAATTGGCTCACTCTTTCTCCCCCATCATGAGTGGACACGCCCCTACTTCTGATTAGCTCACTCTTTCTCCCCCATCATGAGTGGACACGCCCCTACTTCTGATTAGCTCACTCTTTCTCCTCCCCCATCATGAGTGGACACGCCCCCTACTGCTGATTGGCTCACTCTGTCTCCTCCCCCATCATGAGTGGACACGCCCCCTACTGTTGATTGGCTCACTCTGTCTCCTCCTTTCATCATGAGTGGACACACCCCTACTGTTGATTGGCTCACTCTTTCTCCCCCATCATGTGTGGACACACCCCTACTGTTGATTGGCTCACTCTTTCTCCCCCATCATGAGTGGACACGCCCCCTACTGCTGATTGGCTCACTCTGTCTCCTCCCTTCATCATGAGTGGACACACCCCTACTGTTGATTGGCTCACTCTTTCTCCCCCATCATGTGTGGACACGCCCCTACTTCTGATTAGCTCACTCTTTCTCCTCCCCCATCATGAGTGGACACGCCCCTACTTCTGATTGGCTCACTCTTTCTCCTCCCCCATCATGAGTGGACACGCCCCTACTTCTGATTGGCTCACTCTTTCTCCTCCCCCATCATGAGTGGACACGCCCCTACTGCTGATTGGCTCACTCTTTCTCTCCCATCATGTGTGGACACGCCCCTACTGCTGATTGGCTCACTCTTTCTCCCCCATCATGTGTGGACACGCCCCTACTGTTGATTGGCTCACTCTTTCTCCCCATCATGTGTGGACACGCCCCTTCTTCTGATTAGCTCACTCTTTCTCCTCCCCCATCATGAGTGGACACGCCCCTACTTCTGATTGGCTCACTCTTTCTCCTCCCCCATCATGAGTGGACACGCCCCTACTGCTGATTGGCTCACTCTTTCTCTCCCATCATGTGTGGACACGCCCCTACTGCTGATTGGCTCACTCTTTCTCCCCATCATGTGTGGACACGCCCCTACTTCTGATTAGCTCACTCTTTCTCCTCCCCCATCATGAGTGGACACGCCCCCTACTGCTGATTGGCTCACTCTGTCTCCTCCCCCATCATGTGTGGACACGCCCCTACTTCTGATTAGCTCACTCTTTCTCCTCCCCCATTATGAGTGGACACGCCCCCTACTGCTGATTGGCTCACTCTTTCTCCTCCCCCATCATTAGTGGACACGCCCCCTACTGCTGATTGGCTCACTCTTTCTCCTCCCCCATCATGAGTGGACACGTGCTTATTGCACCTTGATGGGAATGTTTTCTCGATATAAAAAAATATTACACTAATGTCCAATTAAAATGTTTCTGAAAAATGTTCCATGAATGATCATATTTTTGTGCTAATGTTTTGATAACATTATTAAAGACCAGATCATTTTGAACGATAACGTTCTATTAGCACTACTGGAAGAACGTTTGCTCATAACTTTTGCCAGAATGTTATAGCCGAAGTTTTGAGAACATTCCCTGGGATTGTGTCCATTTCTTATTGGACACAAATCCATACAGCGAATAGCTTTTTCGTATCATTACTTTTACTATATCCGGTATTTTTGGTATACTTTCAGGCATAATTAATATGAATGATTAGAAGAAAAATGATAAGGATTGGAGTACTAAGGAGTTCTAAATACTCTTTCTCTCTCATCTTTTCTCTCAGGAACCTTGGAAAGTCGGGTCTACGTGTTTCTTGCTTGGGTCTTGGTGAGTATCCAGAGAGTCGGTCATTTATTTAAAGCGGAAGTGTCTATCTTTTCAATGTTAAAAATACTTTAATTTAACCCAGTTTACTCTTGTGAAAAAGAATTCTGCTTAATTGTATTGAATGTGCACTTCAAATCTTAAAAGTATATTTTAAAAAACTGGACTTGCAGAAAATATAATGTTAATTAAATAAAAGGCTACTCCTATCCATCTTCCAACTTCTGCATCCTTCTCTCTCGCTCACTCTCTTTCTGTTCACAGGCACCTGGGTGACATTTGGATCTCAGATCTCTGACGAGGTGAACTGTAATGTTCAGGATAGTTTTACGTTACCTCACACGATCACCTCCTAGAGCTGCACGATTAATCGTTAAAAGATCGCCATCTCGATTCAAACACCCACGTGATCTTATTCCAAAATGACAATGATTCGGCTATGTCTATTAAACCTTTGACTAGTATGATCGCAGCAAGCATTCTACGGTAGCGATTAAAACAGAGGAAATCACCTTTTGAATGTACCTTCAAATAAAGATAGTATCGGTTACTCCAGTAGGTGGCGACAAGTGACTTAAAAAATTGATTTGTCATTGAATCATTCATTCAAACTTATTTAAATAAAATGTTAATTCAAATGAATTACATATATTTTTAAATCGACTACTGCAATTAACATTTTGTCAGAACGTTGAGTGAATTAGTCCCTAAATGTTATTTGTTTACTTCGTGTTCTCTATTTTAAACAAAAAAATTGTGATTCTCAATTTATCCAGAATCGTGCAGCTCTATAACTTCCAGTGTCGTTCTGCAGTGTAATTTAATAAAGAGATACACTTTTGTTCAAACAAAAGAAACTGATGAATCTGTCATTATGTACTCACTCTCACGTCATTCCAAATCTATATGACTTTTTTTCTACAATGGAACATAAAAGAAGATAATATGGAAACGTCTGTTTTTTGTGATACAATGTAAATCAATGGTAACCAAAAAAAAAAAGAAAAAAAAGAAAGAAAGTCATACAGGTTTGCAACGCCAGAGTAAATGATGAGATTTTAAACCTTTAAAGGAATATTCTGTGTATAGTACAATTTACACTGCATTTACAGCATCATCTGAATTTTTTCAACTTGTCAAACACTGTAAAATCAAAGCAAAAAAAATAAACTTTTACACCATCACACTCGCGATAGGGAACGGCATTGCACAGGGATCATGTGTTACCATGTCTGTGCAAAGTTAGAAAGTTAAAGTTAATCTGCATGAGTTTGAATTATTTTTCTGTGGTAACTGAAGCATCTTTTGCACCAAGAGCATGTACTATATGTAAATGGCCAGATCTCTGTCAGTTTATGCATGTGTTTGTGTGTGGATGTTTTCTTCCGTAGATGGCAGAGAGTCTGATGACGATAGCGTATGAGAACGGAGTGAATCTGTTCGACACAGCAGAAGTCTATGCTTCAGGCAGGTAGGATTCACAACTATATATTGGATAAGAGATTCCATGTAGTTTTCTCTGCCATTCTGCACTGGACCACAGGTGTGGATTTTGTTCCTACCAATACATTTCTGGATGTGTTTTGTGAAAAAGAAGTGCGTTTAATTGTATTGAATGTGCACTTGTTGTGTACTTCAATTCTTGTGCTTGTGAATAATATAATATTAATGATAAAAAGGCCACTTACATGTACTTAAATACAGCACACTTTCATGAAAGTGCATTTTAAATCATTCATTTTTTTGTGCTTTTTTTGTAAAATTATTCAATTTTACATTTAATATATTTTAAATGGACTAAATTGCAACTTCCATCATAAGAAATGTTGGAAGTGAATGACATACAGGTTTGAATAGAAATGACATTAAAGTATATTTTAGTTTTAGTTAACCATAAATGCTTGTCAGTACATTCAGCAGTACGCTTGAACCATATTTCAAATAAAATAGCAGTAATTATGACATTACAAGTAAAGATGTAGGCTACTTACTGTAACTCCTACTTAAGTGGGTCAAAAAAAGCACTCTAAAGTTCAGCTAATTGCATGATATAAATATAAATTAGGGCCGGGACTCGATTAAAAAAATTAATCGAATTAATTAGAGGCTTTGTAATTAATTAATCGAAATTAATCGCATTTTAATCGCATAAATATTTGACCTGAGAACTGTGAGAAGTAATTTTTTTCACATGGATTTTTAGTATACCATTGAATAATGACTGCATACATAAGCTTAAGCAACAAAATATTGTTTATTTTTGTTCAACCAAGTCCAGCAGACCAGTGCAATTTTTGTCATTAAGTGTAGCAATAGCATATTGCAACAAAATAGCATATTGCTACACTACACTAATAGCACTACACTAATAGCCATAATTACGGTGGCCGAGAGAGCTCAACGCGCTGCAACTGAAGAAAACACATGCAAATACAAAAAAACACATGCAAATAAAATAAAACGCATGCAAATAGAAAAAAACGCGTGCAAATAAAAAAAACCACCCGCAAATTAAGAAAACATCTTCATCAGTTTCACAACACACGTGTGCTCCAAATACTCACAACACCACCAAATACAAACGCGCTGCAAAAGCTCACAACACAAATACAGAAAAGGCGCTGCAAATAACACAGACCACAACGGAAATGTTTCCAGAGGAACCAAATAAGTGACGAACCCGGCTGGGACGTGCGTGCTGGCAGTGGCATAGATATCCATAAATCTATGTGTGCTGGTGCTTACAGCTTAAAATTATACTTTATTTATTTATTTGTGCAAAACATACAGAGATTACATTTTTTTTATGACATACAACTTGTATACAATGTACAAAATGTATTAACAATGTGTTCAATGTCATCAGAATACAAATGAGAAAAGAACAATGAGCTGGAAACTAAAATAAATAAATAAAAAAGATAAAGAAGAAAATCATGAAGGAAAGATATTTATCTATACATCAGTTACACTGTACAAATTGTTTCATGTTATTGCATTTTCATAAAGAAAAGTTTCGTAAGAAATGTTAGGTAATGTAGGGTCCAAAATTTTTAAGTTGAGACACACAGATATAACGCATATTTTAAAAGCTTTTTTGTAAACTAAAACTAAAAATGTATTTGCATCCGTTATGTTGACAGCATTATATTTCTGTGGTAAGAACAGCTCTTCAGCTGATGGACGCTGTGCTGCGTTGTCATGGGAACATCCCAGGTGAAAATAATGAGGAAATTAATTTCAATTTCAATTTTATTAATGGATAGCCCCTTGAGATGCAACATCTCATTTTCAAGAGTGTCCATACATATAGACATAAAACTATATGTATGGACGCATAGATTTATGGATATCTATGCCAGCACGTCCCAGCCGGGTTCGTCACTTATTTGGTTCCTCTGGAAACATTTCCGTTGTGGTCTGTGTTATTTGCAGCGCGTTTATGTATTTGTGTTGTGAGCTTTTGCAGCGCGTTTGTATTTGGTGGTGTTGTGAGTATTTGGAGCACACGTGTGTTGTGAAACTGATGAAGATGTTTTCTTAATTTGCGGGTGTTTTTTTTATTTGCACGCGTTTTTTTTGTATTTGCATGCGTTTTATTTTATTTGCATGTGTTTTTTTTGTATTTGCATGTGTTTTCTTCAGTTGCAGCGCATTGAGCTTTCTCGGCCACCGTACATAATAGCCATTAAGTGTAGCAATAGCATATTGCAACAAAATAGCATATTGCTACACTACACTAATAGCAATAGCGAATTCCTTGTTGCATAGCTTGCACACAACCATGCTCTTATCGACGCGTCCATCCGTTCGTTTTTTGTAAAAACATTTCCCAGCCACCGGCCAACCAAAGCGATCTCGTCAGCTTCTTCGTCATGAACGCTAGTTGGTGCGCCAGTATAATCAGTCCGCCGAAACTCATCCAGTGAGAAACGTTCCGCGGTGCAAAAATAAGTGCGATTAAAAATAATTTTTTGTGTAATTAATTAACCCGTTAAAGTGTGTAATTAATTAATCTTAATTAACGCGTTAAAGTCCCGGCCCTAATATAAATAAATAAAATAAATCGTAACTATAATTCATTTTCATTTAATTGCAATTAGCATGCAATTAGGTGTCCAAACATTACAATTTGTCTGCACTTAAGTATATTATTTATATAAAACATTTAGTTACAGTCCTTGATTCTGATTGGTCAATAGCTGTGTTTTATTCACGATAAAACCATAAAACACGGCTATGACCGCTTCACCCAACGGTTCTATGTATCACTACACAACACCTCTAGCAACGTAAACATAAGTTTGTTCTCATTGATATTGTTCATTGAAGCTTATGGAATAGAGTAACCTATATTGTGAGAGATCGAGTAAGCGAGTGTACCTGCATTTACAGTAGATAGAGCATTTTCCTTCAGATCAGTACTATATTCGTAATAAAAAATCCGTTTGAATCTCCGCTGCCATATCTTGTCCTTTAAACCATAGATATCCATAATAAAGGCTAGATGTCTCGTCCGCGCTACTGGCCAATGGAGGTCGACGTCCGCACCTGGCGGCCATCTTGTCACAGTCAGCTCGTCACTCGTAACATTGTGTTTTAATGGTGCATGTACTTGCTCAATTTTCTACCGATTTTCAAACGGTTTGGTTTGTTATAAACGTCAGAGATGTAGTTATGACACTGCATACTTATGAATAATCAGTGTATCAATAAATAATCATCCAGAATTATAGCCACGTTAATAACGTTTGTAAGAAACCAAACCGTTTGTAAATCCGTCAAGATTTCAACGAGATAAGAGTATTTGTGTTCGTGCTGATCACTCATCTTACATCAGGCACCACAGAGCCCGCCAGAAAGCTTGCCTGTGACAAGATGGCCGCCGGTGATGACGATAGAGACTCTGCCGTAAGACATCTAGCCTTTATTATGGATATCTATGCTTTAAACAGTCAAGTTTTCCCGTGCCCTAGTCATCTGTCAGTTGCGTCTTGCTTCTCCATGTTCACAAGTTTCAGTCCTTTCAATATAAAAGTCTTCTCCACTGACAAACTCACTCATAAAGACAGTCTTTGCCTCCATCTCATGGCCAAATAATGTATGTAACTTCTGTTGCTATTCACGGCCAGGGACTATTTTTTCCAGCGGAAGGAAGACTTTTAGTGATTTTCCTTCATGAAAGTTGCAATGATAAATTTTTTTTTTTTTTGCTTTAATATTTGCATTGTGTGGTAACCGTTTTATAAAAGCAATAAGGTACTCAAGGCTAGTGCTGTATCGTGAATAAGTCACTTACATAATTATATTCTTAAGGATGTTTTTTTTTTGTGACAAGATTGGTTGTTTCTTTTTACATCTCTTTCTGACTAAACAGAATTGAGAGCTGTATTTGTAGACAGTGTTGTTGAGCAGGGCTTTCCAGTCCTTATCCCGGAGAGAGAGAGAGAGAGAGCGAGCCTCCTGCCAGCAGGGTTTAGCTTCAGTCCCAGTTAAGCGTGTGTGTGTTGGAGCGGAGCTGAGCGTTGCAGGATGGAGGCTCTCTGTGAGCAGGACTGGACAGTGCTGATGTAATGTGATAACCGTAGTTTGAAATAAAGGTTGTGTGAACTGAACAGATGTTAGTAGATCTTCGTGATTATTGGAGGGATTATACGAACACGCTCATCGTCATTTGGAGCAGCATGTGTAGATTACATGAATCAGCTCTGAGAAGTCCACGTGTCCTGTAGTGTGACATGCTTTACTCCATCCTCAAACTGCTAGTTCTTTTATAATTACTATGCATGAATATTTAAAAATCCATACACTGTAGGACTGATTACAAATTGTGAAATGTAAACTAATGTTGACCAAATATACACTTTCCTTAATGCATTTTCATCTGCATTTTAAAGGAGCACTTCACCCATTTCAACATTAATCTTTATTGAAAGTGGGTCATATATGTAGTCGAAATGTAAAAGAAATTTTGAATTTGGTGCCCTCTTGACCGAGAAAAGACAGAAAATAACTTTAGGGCGCATTTGTGTGTAAGACCACAACTCCCAGAATGCACCACGTTGCACAGCTCCGCAAGCCACTCCCACTAATCCAGAACAGCGCAAAGTCGCAAACATCAGAGAAATCACTCTTCCGTCTACTCTACAGGGCTAACGTTAGCTGCCACCAGAGTTAGAAATTCATTTCACACAAAATGTATAGTTAGTTGGCTGTGGCGAGCAGGACGAGGGACGTGAGAGCGGCGCGAGGCCGGTGGCGTGAGTGATAATGAACGACACCTGTGAGACGCACTGGTCTCTCTCGCGTCTCTCACCGAGGAGCGGACGCATAAAACGAGGAGCGACAGGGCAGATCGAGAGAGGAACAGGCCTGATTTTATGGTGTGTTTTGCTTCTGTTGTGTGTGGCCAGCATTGAGGGGCTGCTGGCTTATACTTTTGTTTTGTATTTGTTTATTTTACTATTAAAA